AAAGACAGAGTTCACTCCAAATAGTTAATGACCAGTGTGAGTGTTAATGATCAGTTTACTAGCAGCACAAAGGATGAACCAACAGATGCTGATGATGTGTTTGTGTTTTTGAGGTCAGCTGGCTGTGGCATCCATCTTGAACAGGATTAATTTGCAGTTGTCCACACATCAGTGCTCTGAAGATCCAGTTAAAGGCCAAAGCACAAGCTGCTGGTTTTACAGGACAGCTTGTGTGTTTGGAGTCTTATTACGGTGAAATAAATCTGGACAGGTTCAGGATGTGCTTGGTTGTATTAAACTGACCACTAGATGTCGCCCAGCTCTGTCCCAATTATTTATTTTATTTATTTTTTCCTCCCAGCTGGAGCAGATGAACTCTCTCTTCCTCCCAGTTGTTTCTAGGAATTACACGTTTGGTATGAAGCAGGAAAGCAAACAGCAAACCCCCTCACGTGGCGATAGGAGGACACTTCCAGATTAATCACAGCCTCTGTGAATAAAGGATCCTCTCAAACTAGTGGGAACGTCATGTTCTGATTGAAATGTTATAAATGTTTAACAGCATGAATAGTAAGAATTTAACAATGATTCGTGTTAAATGTGCCTTTTAAAGAAAAAATATTTATATTGAGCAAAAAGGTTTCTGTGCAACTTTATTTAAATAATGGGGGAAAAGGTAAACTTCATCTCCAGTTGCTTTTCGCTCCTGTGTCTTCTTTGTGTTTTTCTGTTTTGAAATATCAAAAAATGTTTTTTTGTCTCGTTTGTTTACGTTTTTCTCTAAATGAACATTCTCAGTAAAGTTCTTCTTCCTTCGACATCATTTCTAACATCAAGAATGAGCCTGCCGCTCTGTGATTGGCTGCGGCTCGTCTCTCTGGACCAATAGGAGGGCAGCGCTGTTATTTCGGGTCTCACCGCTGATATAAAACCCGGCGACGAGCAGCAAATGACTGCAGGAGGGTAAATACTGTGAGAGGAGGAGGGGCAGTCACAACGTTCAGCTTCGCTTCTTCTGTTTCATCTCGTGCTTCTTCTCCGCTTTGTCTCCGCATCCGCGCGCTCAGGTACGACGGTCCGCAGCGAGGATGCTCCACACACACACACACACAAACACACACACACACACACACTCACACACACAAACACACACACACTGACATATACACACAATGACTCAGACTTGTACTTTTATGGGGAGAGTTTATAAATTATTAGAGCATATATAACGCAGGTCAACTAGCTTGTTGCAGCTGTTTTGCACGCGCCTCATGTCCTGTCGGGTGAAGGAAGCAGAAATGTTTTCAACTTCAGGACCTTTATGTCTTTTTTCAGAGTTGTCATTTAAATTATACAAAACTGCTGAAACAATGGGCTTTTTAAAAACATGTATTTATAAGCTGATATATTTTTGTTTGGTCAGAATTTGGAAGTTTTAGCAAAGTTATCTTTGTGTTGGAGAAAGCAGCGTGTCAGTGAGTTATTAAATATAAATATTAATTTTGAAGCTACGTGCTGCTGATTTGTCGCCTGTTTGTGTGTCAGCGGCTGGTTTGTAGCCTTTGTTCCAGCAGCAGGATGTTGTCTTTCTCCCTCCTGTTGTTGACACCAAACAGCTGAGCGACTTAAAGTCAAGACGCTGAAATTCAACCCGCTCACTTCCGGTGAAGCCAGGCACTTTCAACATAAAACACGAATGGAGTCAGAAACTGGTTAAACTTTTACACAACAACCGTGATTACTTTAATTCCTCTGTCCCGGTTTGTTAGTAGAGGAAACTAACTTTAAAATGAAGTGTTTTACTTTGAAACAGTAGTGTTTATTGACATGCTTGTGTTTTAAGTCTTTTATTTTGAAACGACCCGTCCAGCCGGTGTTTCTGAGCCGCAGATCCAGGGTGGGGGTGTATTGTGCAGCAGATTCTAGTCCAGACCAGTTCGAGCTGCTCTTCCTTCATCAGCCAGTGGTTTTCTTTGATTTTACCCAGAGACACAAAGTCACACAACAGTCACAATCATTTTAAACTAAACTCACCTTAGAGCTGCATCCATCAAAGGATGCGTTGTTCTTTCTCTGTCTGATGGTAAAATACCTCATCAAACACTGAATGAATATGAATAAAACTGTGAAAATATAATAACTGGATGTGCAAACACAACCAGACTGAATGCATGCACAGCTCAGACAAACATGGCTGTATCAATAACCGAGGGTCATCCTAAATGTTTTATTTTTAGGGTGACATTTTACCATGAAAGGTCCTGTTTTCTTTATGCAGACTTTTAATTTTTATTGTTCTTAATAAAAAGAAACCCGCTCAGTTTTATCGTTTGTTTATTCTCACAGTTTGTGTCTGAACACACACAGCACCGTTAACTGCTTCCTTTGATGAGCGCTCGTGCCCACAGCTGACTTTCTCTCTCGCGCGGTGCTGGTTCAAACTGGATCGAGCTTGTGCTGCATTCACGTGCAGGTTTATTTCCAGTAAACATGGCCTTTTCTTTCATTTTTACACATTTGTTTGGACTTTATGCACACTTTAGTTAATTTTAATAAAACCTGTCATGTATTTGTTTGATTTCTACTCGTTTTAACAGTTTTTACTCTAATAATTGGGTTATTTTTAATACAATAAACGGTCACACATAGTAAGCTATGAAATTGAAATTTGCAACCTTTTCTAACTAAACTAATTAGAGAACTTGTTTTTTCAGCCAGAACAAAGTAAGAAGCTGTTTATTTTCACTGCAAAGGGTGGTGATATCATCATCTTCTTCCTGTGAAGACCCCTGTCTGCGGTCTTTCCCCACAGCTCTGAAACGCAGCAACAACCTCACGTGCAGCAGCTTCAAGCGACGTCACCAGCAGCCAATGAAAAGCGCTCTTAAACCTTCCAACCCATCAGATGTATTAGTGGGCGGGGTTATAAATAATTAGAGGCGGGGTTTAGTTGTTTGTTTCAGTTCTGTCTTTTTGCCCTCATCGGGTCCAGAACAAAGAACTGGACGTGGTTCTTCCTGGAAAAACTCACCCAGAACTCTTAACTTAAAACTGAAGCATGTTTAGGTTTATTATTTGAAATACCTTTTTTAAGCATGCAGTTTTTAAATCCCTCAAAACAACTTATACACCTCTAAAATGTTTGAAAAAGTGTTACATCTGTTATTTATCATAGATTATTGTTGTTATTATTATCATTGCTATTGTTTGTTGTTATTATCACCCACCTGGTCAATGTTACATTGTTTTTGTCATTGTGTGTTCATTTGTTTGTTGTTTCTCGAACTGTTGGACAGACCTTAGTGAAACTCAGAAAGTGGTTAGTCAAATCTATTCAAGCTAATCTGCCTTAGTAAACTCAAACCTGGCTTTCACTTAAATTTTTTCTACAAATACCGAGCTAAAATTTGATACGGGAGTAGCTGAGTCATCCTCAACACATACATACAAAAATTCATATTTTAAAAATAAACGTCCTGTTTACTGCTTGTGTTTAAGGCGCCAGCAGCCTACTTCAGATCCAGTTAGGCCAGCACACCGCTACATCCCACCCAGCAGAGATGGCTCCCACCCTGGCCACAGCCTTCTCCCGCCGCTGGTGGATGGCTGTGACAGCAGTCATTGAAAACCTGCTGTTCTCTGCCGTGCTGCTCGGCTGGTCCTCCCTGCTCATCATGCTCAAGTCTGAGGGCTTCTACTCCTACCTTTGCACAAGGCCAGGTATGTCTTATGGTTTATAGCCAGTTGATTATAAGATTTGATACAGCAGGTCTAGACTTAGACATTCAGGTTACAAGATGGGAGCAGATGAAAGAGATGCAACTTTTTATTTCACCTCTAAAATAAGGATTATTAAGCAAATCAAACCTGGCAGTAAAAGTAACAGCATTTTCATTTTTGTTTTTAAATAAAACCAAATAAATCAAGAGAGACGTATTTTAAAATGCTTTAATAGAGTGAAACTGACTCATGCCTTCTGTGCAGAGTTGTAAAGTAACTTATAACAAATACATTGTTACTGTACTTAAAGTACCTGTGACATGAAATTTTAAAATAAATATAAAGGCATATTTTGAAAGATAACAGTAATAACATATTGCAAAAATAATTTCCCACTGCTGAGATGAACAGTTGTTGAGATATTTGCTTGTGAAGAAACAGGAAGTGATGTCACAGGGGAATGTCTGCATGGAACAGAGCGTTGTTACAACACAGACTGTAGAGAAGAATCTGATGTTTCTTTACATTATTTTGAGTCTATCAGAGAGATGAAGACAAATCAGAGTTCAAATATTATTGTTTCAATAAACAAAGACCTTCTTATAGAGTTCCGCTTTGATGTCACTTCCTGTTTCACTTTGGCTGAGCCAAATTTTTAAAAATGCCATTTATGTGACAAAAATGGGTAAAATCACATTTTATGCAACGTTTCTTATATAAAAATGTGTTTTCTTTGACTTTTTGTATTCGATGGAAAAGCATGTCACAGGCATTTTAAGTACATTTTACTTGAGTAATTATTTTTCAGTCTACGTTTTAACTTTTATTTCTTACATTTTTACACATTTATCTGTACTTTCTACTCCTTACATTTTTAAAAAAAGGTAGGAAGTAGAAAGTCGTTATTTTTATTTCATTTTTTCTTGTTTTCATCCCAGCTTGTTATTGTAAAAAATAAAAACTATCCATATAAACTGAGCCTCCTAGATAGAGTGAATTTAACTGTGGTTGAATGAGAAGTATAAATATATAAAACTCTGATAGTGTATTAGTTTGTACACAAACAAATCATGTCACACTCCAGCAGGACAGAATCATTCAAATAAAAGGACTGTACTTAAGAAGTATTTGTATTTCATGAATTATATTCTTACATTTGGCCGCAGCCCTCAGATAGATTTTCATTTTGGGGAAAAGCTTTGTGCAGCCTTGATATATGTATATAAACTGAAACAGCTGGACTTCATCCTAAATTTAACATTAATTATTTTAATACAACAGTCATTTCTGCATTGTTTTGAGGAGGTCACCTCCTAATAAATGTCCTTACAGAAGATCTAACTGCTCATTTTAAATCAATACTTTTACTTTTAATACTTAAGCGGGCGAACTTTTACACAAGTAATATTCCTAAAGGACAATTTAACTTTTACCAAAATATATTTTGGGTAAAATACTTATACTTTTACTTATCATTTTGTGGTACTTTATACAAGACTGCTTCTGTGCAATATTAAAATCTGCAGTTCATAAAGGTAATATATGTGGTTGCTTACTGTGAGTTGGAAACAATTTGTTTTTAACTTAATGACAGTACAACAACTGCTGGTGTTACTGCTGCAAGCTGTCCCCTCCAAGACACAGACTTTGATCTTGACTCAGATTCATTTCTTGAGGATTAACGAGTTGTTTGGATCCACTGTGTAACAAAAACAAACAGGCTGGGTTCAATCAGTTTTTTATGAGACACGTTCACCAGGCTGATAGCAACACATTTCAGCAGCTGAGGCAGCTCTCCGGAGACGGTGACAAACATGGATGATTCTTAGGAAACACCTCGTCACGTCCACAGTGAGCTGGCTCTGAATCAGCTGTAAAACGCTCCGGCAGAACAAAAGCCAACAGAAAGATAACAGCAGCAATCTCGTTTCATTCTGTCCTCAGCTCTCTTATCTATGATCAAAGAGGAAGTGGTGAGCTGCTGCACTCACTGGTCATTATTACACAGATTGTCTGGGAACATCAAACCACAAGAACTTTGCTCCTATGAGAGGACATGAGAAACATTGTTTGTCATTGTGTACATGTAGTTCAATACAAAAGAGTAAAAAAAAAAAAAACTGTCGATTTCCATCAGTGGAGCTGAATAGTCTCCACAGATGAGCAGATGGTCTCTTTCATCTTGAAACTGTGTCTCTGGTTTTCTTTTTATTCAACAAAAGAGACAGATGCAGGCTTTCCATGTTAATTTGTGTATTTCAAAAGCAACAATTTAATTTCACTTTATTAACCCCTAACAAATAGTGAAGCTTGTTTCAGAGGCTCTGTCCAAATTCAGAGGCTGCGTCCTCCGAAGGGTTAATTTCAACCTGTGGAGACTCACACAAAGACAGACTGAAATTAGGAAGTAAATTTATTGACATGAATGACAGAGTTTGGCGCTCAGACCCCGGCAGAGGATGTGAGCGCTGTGAGATGATATAAGCTGACCTGTTCCTGCTTGTAAATTCGGACGAAGCGAGAGAAAGTATTTTATATAAAAATTTTATTTATATAAAAATCATAGTATAAAAATTAAAAGTTTCAAGTGGTTGTGTTAGGCTTTTACCATGTGTATAGACCTGTTTTTACTATTATTCTTGTCAGAAATCAAATAAGCTGGTATAATGACATAAACGTCTCTTAGTTCTTAAAATAATTCCTTTAAAGTGCCAGTGACATCAACATTTTTTGTGATAAATGTGATTGCGCTTTTGGAATGATAACATGGATAACATATTGCAAAAGTAATTTCACACCACTGAGATGAACAGTTGTTGAGATATTTGCATGTGAAGTAACAGGAAGTGATGTCAAAGGGGAATGTCTGCATGTAAACGAAGCGTTGTTGCAACAGCTAACAACACAGACAGAAGGGAATTTTCTGATGTTTCTTTAGATAATTTTAGTCCCTATAAGAGAGAGATGAAGAAGAGTCAGAGTTCAAATAAAATTGTTTTATTAAACAAAGACCAGAGATTTTTCTTTCTTAGAGTGCCCCTTTGATGTCACTTCCTGTTTCACTTTAGATGAGCCAAATAGCCTATATGCCACGGTCATTAATGACGTATTTCTGGTAAAATTCTTGCCACGCTGCTCCCTTCCTCTCCCTGCTTACTGCCTATGTTTTTACCGTTAGCTGCTAGTACTAGTCCGTGAAAAAGTCACAAAAGTTAAAGCATCTGTGATCTACTGGTATAAAACATGAGTTCTGTTGTGTGCCGTTGTGTCCACTAACCAGCAGGTACAATAGAGTAGTTAGTTTTTATCCATTTTCCTTTAGATGAGGAGGTGACAGCAGTGGATCATAGCATTACAGAGAAAACTTATCTTTAAAAGCTCACGCTTGTGTTTGTAATCAGCATTTCTAACCTGAGGATATTCAAGAGTCAGAATCAGAAACGAGAAGACGGAGGTTACAAAAGGGAAATGTACATTTATCCTCTTTTACTGCCTTTTACTGAGGAAAGACCACCTCCACACGACAGCTATCAGGAAGCTAACACAGCAGCTGGTAAAGGTAGGCGTGTGCACGCGTTTGTGTTATATGAAATGTTTTTATGCGACTTTGTCATGAGTTTTATGCAAAAGTAAAAACTTGTTAGAGTGTATATTACAGCGTAGACTAAAGCCGAGTGATGAGCGATGTTGTTTAAAACTTTAGTTTCTTGTGTTTGTCATATTAAACAAGCTTTGAATGTTCAGTCCTGAATGTGGAGACTGTTCCCTCTTGGGCACTGTTACTATTCTTTTGATTATCTGTAATTTGCATTATGACTGAGAGATTTTGTTTGCTGGTGAAGAGTCTGTTTCATTGAATAAACTGCAGGCTAAAGAGAATCATGGAGCAGTTTTTCACATTGCTGTGTCCTGATCACACCGGTTCTGCTCAGTCTGTCTAACTCCAGTGCCCTCAGCTCTCTGCGAGCTGGCACATCAGCGTTAGAACAGCACTGTAGTCATCAGATGTTCCTGGAGTCCTGCTGCCTTTTATCTATTTCCATCCTCACACCCTGGAGCCAGCTCTGCTCATCAACATGGTTTTCATACGACACTGTGGCTTCCTGTTGCTCTAAATCCACCCTCCGCTCCTTATCCTGAAACCGGCATCAACACCTCCGTTCTAGTCGAGTTTTACTGTGAGTTGAATCAGCAAAGGCAAAGATGAACTCAGAGCGCAGAGAAGCTAACCCGGAGTCGTGTTGTGTATTACTTACTGCAAAGTCTTTGCTGCTTTTGTTACTTTTCTCCACAAACAGGAACAACACACATAAAACACTTGTAAGCTAAGTGTTGTTTCCTTTTCAAGCCTCCATATGTGAAGCAACTGCTGTATCTGAACTGTCTGACATTATGACTGTAAACAAGTTAAGGTGAGTGATGAGCTGTGTTCTTATCACAGCTCTCCTCTCTGTTGTCTTGTCTGTTTATGTCAACAGAGTTTGACAGTGCGGACAGTGTAACAGAACACATGGACTGAAATAGACTTCCCATGAACTCAGTGGTCTGTGTTTACCAGCGGAGGGAATGAGACCGTCTCAGAGAGTCCCCTTCACTCTGCCAGAGTTCAGCTCAGACTATTTCTGACTGCTGATTACCCAGAGCTATATTATTTGTTTACTTGACCTTTAATGTATTGGCTTTTCAATCAGCTGTAAGAGGCAGAATGACCCACATCAGAAATATACCCAAAAACTATTCACATTAAAGAATACCAACAGACACTGAACGTGTTGTGTAATACATTCAGTCAACACAAGGCTCTTCATAATAAGATATAAAAACAGCAGAGGGGTCAAAAGTATTCACATTCATTACTTTAGTAGAAGCATTGGGCCTCATGCAAGAACATGTTCGTATTCTTCTCCTAAATTTCTCTTACTTTTGTTCGTACAAAGGGTTCGTACGAACATGTCACGTCAGATTCAACAAACTCTTCTATCTTCAGGAAAAG